ATCGTTTTAAGTTCTGGATTTTACATTTTTTGCTGCTGGAAATTGGGAATTTGAATGAAAATTTTCTCTGAGAGACAGATCTTGATGCAGGCATGGTTTATGGATGATAGCAACGAAGACCAGAGACTTCCTCACCATCGTAACCCGAACGAGCCCGTCTCGCTGGATTACTTGTCAGGTTCTCTCAAATCTCTTGCTTGAATTTACTCTTTACTTTGCATACAGTTGGATAGGTATTGGAGTTTTATTGTGTTGAGTTGTGATTCCACTGTATGAGTTATTATATATTTAAAGGAGTTTTAAACTAATGAAACGATCAAATATAACTGATGACTATATGCAAAATTGTTCTAACGATAGGTGTGTTGTGTTTTTGCAGAGCTGGGAGTTTTGTACTGGAAGTTGAACCCTGACAACTACGAGAATGATTCCGAACTTGGCAAGATTAGAGAAGAAAGGGGTTACGATTACATGGTACGCCGATCACTTTTGCTCACCATATACGGCCATTGATGTTACGGTTTTTTTTTTTTCCAACTTGCATATCGCTGCATGAGAAAACGTTTGAACCCAACAGATGCAGTGACAGTAGAACTATTAAAATCCTGCATAACCATGAGGGTAGTGGTACTCAAACCTTATAAAATCAGTTTATGAAGAAAGAAGGCTTATGAGTGATTGAGTATAAGGCTCTCTAAGCTAGCAAGCAAATAATCCTACAGTTGGTCAATATACCATTTGAGAATTTATGTAAATGCTAACATCACACAACATTCGTATAACATCACACAACATTCGTATAGTGTTTTCTCAGAAATTGTTGAGCATAAATTTTACCTGTAATCAAATCTTTATCTTGTAGGATTTACTGGATCTGTGTCCGGAGAAAGTAAGCAACTACGAGGAGAAGCTGAACAACTTTTTCACAGAACACATTCACAAGGACGAAGAGATCCGTTACTGCCTAGCGGGAAGTGGCTACTTTGATGTTAGGGACAAGGATGACCGTTGGATTCGAATATGGATGAAACCAGGCGATCTCATTGTCCTTCCTGCTGGAATCTACCATCGGTTCACACTCGACACCACCAACTACATCAAGGTATATAAAAAAAGCCAACCTCTGTTACCAAATTATATAAAACGTAGATGAAACGTACATACTTGAATATTTGATTGCTGGATTGTGATGAGATTGGTGGTTTGTTTTGCAGCTAATGAGGTTGTTCGTTGGAGAACCGGTTTGGACACCATATAACCGGCCGCAGGAAGATCATCCGGTTAGGAAAAATTATATAAAGGGCATAACCCATAAGTTTGGAGAAACCATTCAAGCGCATTGAGAAGGTTTAATACATGTTTTGTGGTGTATTATACGTTTGTTGTTTACTCTTTACTAGTGAATACTGAATACATAAGCTCCTTCCGATACATTTTAAGGATATAACCGTAGAGAAGGTAATTCGATATGAGAAAGGAAGGTAATTCGATATAAGTATATTACATTAGTGCTTGTAATATACATATGCCATATTATGCTCTTTTTTGTTTTGTTTTGAGTGTAGTAGAATTTACCTCGAAGGCATTGATTTTGATTGA